GTGCTAGAATGTTGACCCTACGTTTTCTTCTAAGAGTTGCATAGTTTCTGGTCTCATTCTTAGGTCCTTGGTCCATTTGAGTAGGGTTTTTTGTTTGTTTGTTTGTTTGTGCAGGATGAGATAAAGAGCTTAGTCTCATTCTTTTACCAATGGATATCCAGGTTTCCCTAGCACCACTTGTTTAAAAAACTATATTTTTTCTAATGTTACATTTTTGGCAACTTTGTCAAAGATCAGATCACTATATCTTTGTGTATTTGTCTCTGTACCATTCGTCTAATTATCTGTTTTTATGCCAGTACCATGTAGCTTTGTTACTATAGTTTGAAGTAATAAGTGATACCTCCCTCCAGCATTGCTTTTTTGGCTTAGAATTGCTTTGACTATTCTGGGCCTTTTATTCTTTCAAATAAATAGTAGAACTGTTTTTTTTTTTCCTGTTCTATGAAGAATGCCATTGGTATTTTGATGGGAATTGCATTGAATCTGTATATTGCTTTGGGTAGAATGGCCCTTTTAACAATATTAGTTCTTCCATACATGTGTTCATGAACAAAAGAGGTCATTCCATCTTCCCGTGTCTTCTTCAATTTCTTTCTTCAACGTTGCATAATTTTCATTGGAGAGGTCTTTCACCTTTTTGGTTAGATTTATCCCTAGGTTGGTTTTTTTTTTTAAAAAAAAAAAATTTGTTTTGTTTAAACTATTGTTAATGGTATTGTTTTCCTGATTTTATTCTCAGCAAATTTATTATTGATATATAGGAAATATACTGTTTGGTTTTTTTTGATGTTGATTTTGTAATCTGCTATTTTACCAAATTGTTTATTAGCTCAAACAGTCCTGGGTGGAGTTTATTGGATCTTCTAAATATAGGATCATATCATCTGCAAATAGTGACAATTTGACTCTTCCTTTTCTATTTTTATCCCCTTTATTTCCTTCTCTTGCCTAATTGCTTTGGCCAGAGGCCACTTTAAATAAGCATTAAACCAACATTTTCATATTTTATGGTTTACAAAATACCTATCTCATATGTCCCAATTAGAGTGTGGCCACTGTATAAACAGAGTAACAAGGTGACTGAATTTTTCAGACTGACTAGACACAGCCCACACAATATTCCTATGCTAGGATCAAGCCCAGATTCTATCAAGGTTACTTTCCTAAGTGACACTCTGCATTCCCTTGCTTTATCTCATATCACCTTGATCTTCTAGGTATAATTTTCTCCATGTCCTTTTAAAATATAGTTGCTCTACTATGATTATACCAATTGCATATGCATTTTGAAAATAGTCTAAATAACACAGGATAGTATAAAGAAGAAATTAAATATTATTAAGTATTCTATTTACTAAATTCTGCTAATATTAGTATCTCATAATAGGTACTTCCTAGGACCTATGTATAGATACATATATAATGGTTTCATAATATTTTATCAAATGTACATGTATATATATATATATATATATCATTATTTATGTCTGTGTTCCTATCCTAATTAATTCTGATTAATAGACATTTGCTCTTTGGTATATCTTTGACATTTATAAAACAGTTCAGTGAAAATCATTCATGGTTCATCTTTGTATATTTGCCTAACTTTTTAGAAGTGGAATTGCTGTTCACAGAGATACACTTTTTTAATGGTTTTTGTATGTGCATTAATAAATTAGCCTGTAAAAAACGTGAATCAACTTATACTCTCACAAGCAGAAAACAAGAACATTCCCATATCTTTGCCAACACCGAGAATTAGCAAACCTTTATTCTTTAACCAGATAATAGAAGAATAACTTGGTTTATTTTAATTTTTTTAATTGTTGATAGACCTTTTTAATTTATTTCTATGTGGTGCTGAAAATCCAACCCAGTACCTCATACATGCCAGCAAGTATGTGTGGGAAGCCATTCTAACACGTGATTGGGCGACTCCCGTTAAGGGCCTGAGGCACTTTGGCAAAGTCGAAGTTTTCCCAACCCTTTCCTGATGAGAGAGCCCATCCATGTGGGGGTGTGCCTGACCACTGACCCCGGGGACCCAATCACTGACCCTGACCTTGGAGTGCAGCCCCCCCTCAACCTTCATTGGATGGAATTCTCCCCTGAATCTCTTGTTCCCCAATA